TCTTTCATAATTGCATGATTCTATATTCTAGAACACATGCCACAATGATGACAATTCTTAGAATCTAGAGGGATGGGCAACAAAGATCATGACTTCACAAACTTCGATTCATCTTAGTTCCAGGGACTATACTGGCATTGTCTGGTTTGAAACATAAGAACGTTTCCTCTCGATCTTAATGTGGTTTCCAAAATAGAATGATCTATGTATCCAAATATATACGTCACTTCACAGATTAGAAAATGTCTGCATCAGATGGTTAGTTCTAACTTAGCACTTTCTTTGTATACACACACACACACACACATACACACACACGTGTATTTTTAAAATGTCATTAATACGTCTAGTAATATATATTCCCTCTACCCTAAGTTATAATTGTGGATGACTAAGATACTAGAAATTGAACATTTTTATGGTAATTACGGTAAAGGCTTACTTTGAGACAACCTGAAATGGACAGATTGTATTTCCATGATTCATGTTGTGAGGGACAATTATTCTAAGGAAGATAGGCACATATGATCTATTTATTATTCATGTGGCAGTATGATAAATGGCAGAGGGTGAGAGGGAAGGAATCAAGAGGGAAAAAAGTAAAATATATAAGAAACAAGAAATGGGAAATTATTTGTTGAAGATTAACATGTATGGTAATATCTTTGATTGAGCCAATATATAGTGTATTCTGGATGGGAAAACTCATTTTTATGCTGTAATGATATACCATGAATGAACGTAAAATAAATATATTTGATTTTTTTTTAAATTGTTGTAACAAAACAGCATAAACTGGGGTGGGGAGAGCTTAAAAACCAGAAATTTACGGGGCCAGCAGGCAATGTGGAGGTTAAGGCACTGTATCCTGTACAGATCCAGAGGCCTGGAAACCATGTGGGGCGTGTTTGTGTGCATGCTGAAAATCCAGAGGAAAATGGAAGAGAAGGGATTGCAGCGTGGCCATCCCTCCTGGGGGGTAATTTCTCACCTTCCCTCTCTCTGTCTTTCTCTGGTGAACATACACAACCTACAGCAAAAAAATAAAAACAACAACAACAACAAAAAATTTATTACCTCTGGAAACTAGGAATACAAAATCAAGGTGTTGGTAAATGTTGATTTTTCTGAAGGCCAAGAGCAAGTGTGTGTGTATGTGTGTGTATGCATGAATGAGTTTAGTTCCATCTTTATTTTCTATGTCCTATTGGATCTGCTTCTCTGGCAAACCCTGATCAACTCAGGTTAGGTTTAAGAGGTGAGGGGCAGAGGGTACAAGCTCTTGCAGGGTCTTGTAGGCATAAAGAGTTCAGCTTTCATTCCTTGAATGAAAAATATTGGAATAATTTTGAGTAAAGTACTTTTTAAAAAGGATTACTCTAGTTACTGGGTTGAGAATAATAACAGCAAAATAATAAATTAATAACAATCAAGTGCATGGTGCTATGGCCCATGCACTGAATCAGGTGTTTTATATATATTAACTCAATTAATGTATTCCAGAGAAGGGGCAAAAATGGAAGCAAAAAGACATGTTCTTTTTTTTTTTCTTCTGACTTTTAAAAATTTCTTCTACGTTCTAGGTACCACTTATCTTTTGATGACTATATGTACTTGCAAATACAGTTGGTCCTCTCTATCTGTGGGTTCTACATCACACATTCAACAATCCATGAATGTAAACGTTTCATTGCTGCTGATGTGTGCTGTGTAATTAGGTCCCATTGGTTGCATCTGTTCTGAACATGTACAGACTTCTTTTTTTTTCCTTACAAATATCTCTAAACAATATGGTACAAGCACTACTTACATAGCATTGCCATTGTATTAGGTATTTTAAGCAATCTACAGATGACTTAAAGTACATGGGTGCATGTAGGTTATATACAAATACTCTATCATTCTATAGAAGGGATTTGAGGATCTTTGTATTTTGATAGATGTAGGGGTGAGAAGGAGGGAGTCCTGGACGCAATCTTCTGGATGCCAAGGGAAGACAGTATCTTTTATTAGTCTATGGGTTGTTCTACTATTCATATCTTTTATTGTTCAGAAGTTTAAAATGTTCATGTAGTCAAATTCACCAACATTTTTCTTGATGTTTTTGTCTTTTATTTTTCTTGCACTTGGTTTTTGTGTTCCAGTCCTGCTGCACTCAGACTCCTCCACGCTGCCAGCACTCTGGCATCTGTCTACATAAACATAAATTCCAATCCTAGGGCTTCCTATTTAAAACCCTCAGAGAGCTGTTTATGGTTATATGATGCTTATCATTCAGTGCCCTACACATACTCACACCATGAGATTACAATTAAGAGCCACACATATGTACATACAGACATAAAATCACAGACACTTTTTGTTTTTAGAGAGATTTTTGCTATAGGGTAAGTGTGCTCCCTGAAGAGACAAAGAGAGAGAGACAGAAAACAATAAATTACCACCCAGGGGGAATGACACAGTACCATCCCTTCTTCATTCACCACTCTGGATTTGGGGTACACACACACATACACCCAGTGAGAGTTTTAAGCCAGTGGGTCCGGGACTTGAACAGTCGTTAACTATGTGGGAATCCAGTGACATAACCATTATGCAATCTGCTGGTCCCAATCACAGACATCTTAACTGGTAGTTCATCTACAGAGCACAGGGTTAAAGAATTCAGGTTAATCATCAGGTTGGTACATGCCCAAAGTACTTCGCAAGGCTTCTCTTCCAGCTTTCCCCAATACATGCCACTGTTCATACCACAGTTTGTTAGATAAGAATTTAACTAAATTTTGATGCAGTCCAATTTATATCTATTTTCCATTTGTTGCTTGTACTTTTTAAGAAACCATTGCCTTCCCAACTCCAGAACTGTAAAAACTAAAGTCAGCCTATTGTATTTTGCTATGGCAGCCTTAGCTAAATCTGATTGTGTTTAATGCAACCTTACTGAATTTATTATTTTTTTCTAATAGCTTGTGCGTGTGTGTGTGTGTGTGTATTCCTTAATATTTCTGTATACAAAATCATGCCTCTATGACTAGAGTTTTACTTCTTTCTTGCTTAATTGTCACGGCTAAAGTTTCCAATGCAATGTTGGATAGAAGTGATAAGAGTGGACATCTTTGTCTTGTTATGGCTCTTAGGAGGACTGAATTAAGTTGTTCACCATTAAGTATTATGTTAGCTAAGGAGTTTTCCTAAATGTCTTTTATCAGACTGAATAATTTCTCTTCTATTCCTTGTTTGTTGAGTTTTCTTTTTTACATCATGAAAGGTGTTGGATATTGTAAAATGTTTTACCTGCATTTACTAAATTCATCATATAGCTTTGGTCCTTTATTCTGTTCAATGATTTATTTCATTAATTGATTTGTGGATGTTAAACCAACCTTATATTCTTGTTATAAATTCCACTTGGTCATGAGATACAATCCTTTTTTACATGTTGCTGAATTTGGTTTGCTAGTATTTTCCTTTCTGGAGGACTTTTATGGCTGTTCATAAGAGATATTGGTCTGAAGTTTCCTTTGCTTATGATTTATTTGTTTGCTATCTCACTAATCCTTACCTTACAGAATGAGTTGTAAAATGTACCCTTCTTTTCTAATAATTTAGAATGGTTTCTGAATAATTATTCCTTAAATATTTGGCAGAATTTACCAGTGATCTAGGCTTTACTTTGTAGACGGCTTTTTTCTTGCGATTCAATTTTTTTTTTTTATTATAGATCTAGTCAGAGATTTTATTTCTTCTTGAGTCAGTTTAGGTAATTTGTGTCTATCTTAGAATTTGTCCATTTTATTTGGTATCTAATTTCTCAGCATACGGTTGTTCACTGTAATTCTTATTCTTGCTTATTTCTTGATGGTTGTCAGTGATTATTTTCTTTTAGTCTTTATTAATTTATTTCCTTTTTTTAAAATTTAAGTCTCACTAAACTTTTGTCAGTTTTGCAGATGTATGCCAAAAACTTTTGGCCTCATTGATTTTTTTCATTGATATTCTATTTGGTTACTCCTAGTCTAATCTTTATTTCCTTTATTCTGCTTATGTTTGATTTAGTTTTTCTCTTCATTTTCTAGTTCCATGCCTCTAATCCTGCTCCACTTTTACAAGCTCATCCTCAACTGTGGCCAAAGTTATTTGTGCTTATGAAACAAAATTTGATAGTGTCATTCAGATGCTTAAAATCTTCTAATTGTTCCCATCTCTGACAGAGTGAACTTCAAATTCTATACCATTCATACAAGGCCATTCATGATCTTAACCACTTCACCTCACCAATCAAACCTACCTTTCTACTCACATCAAATCACCTGCAACTGTATCTACAAATACCCATGGTATCCCTTGGGGGCTAGCTCTAGGACTACTGCAGGTAACATCCCCCAGATGTTTAAGACTTGTTTAAAATGTGTATTACCTAGGCTGGCATACCCTCCCATTATCATTTAAGTCATCTATAGAAGACTTGAAAGTAATCTTAATATCAGATATAAATAAAAAGGAAAATTCATAAATAAGCTTCTCCAGCATTTCTCTTTTAGGGCATCTGCCCTCCCCCACCCACTTCATTATAATGGCTTGGTAGCACCTGCTATTCCTTAAACCCAAATACGTGGAACCCATGGAGAGGAGGGCCAACTTTATATTATCTCCATTCCTTCCTATGTGTGTTTTCTAAATTTGTTGTACTTTTCTCCCAGTCACTTTTTTAATTGCCAGAGGGTGCATTTGATGGAGAGAGAGAGAGAGAGAGAGAGAGAGAAAATACCCAGCAATCCCTTCTCCATTTCTCCAGCATGTCTGGACTGGGCACGTGTGCACATACGTGCCAGTTTTTAGACCTGGGATGGGATCTGAACTACAGTTGGCCACCTGGGGTCCAGCTCCCTGAACCACTAGAATCTTTCAGCCCCTTCGGCTGACTTTTTATAAATTGCCTTTTAAAAGCTCAGTTGCCCACTTTTTTAGTTATTTGGCACAATTGTCTTCTAGAAACTTACCAAATTATTTATTAATAATGCATGCCTTCATCATTGTGCGTTCCAGGATGTGAGTTCCTGCCTTACAAATGAATCATGTCCCAGTAGCTGACATAGAGCAAACGCTTAAGAAGTGTTCCTGGAAGTAAATGGAGAAAAGTGGTAAAGTCTGACGTCACTTTAGCTAGGGAAGTAAGAAAATGGATGGCGCACTCCAGCTAGTGAAATGAGAGAAAAGCGATGGCCAGTGCCTTCACTTTGCATACTACTTTGGTTGATAAAGCCCAAAATACTGATACCCTTGTGTTATGAATTAATCTGCGGTTGAGCGACCACTATGGATGCTCTTCAAGTTCTGCTTACCACTCTTATTTTCCCTGAGGAAAGAAGGTTGAGGAATTTGCCAAAGGTTAAGCAGAACACAAGTTCAAAGAGCGACTATGTGGGAGAAGTGCTTTGATAGCCTGGAGTGTTTTCCTAACCTTTGGGCGGTCAGCAGAGACAGGGATAGAAGCAGATATTGAAGAGTAACACACACGTACGGTTCTCCCGGATCACCCTCCACCACGCAGCCAGGCTGAGAAGCTGCTGTACGATCGCGCATGCGTCCATTTTTCGCGATGGGCGGGGCAGATTCCTTGCTCCCGTGAAGATCCTGAGGGGTGGGGCCGAGCTGTTTCCTAGGTGACAGAGCCGCTGCCTCGGCGGTGGATTGAGCAGGTCTGATTGAGGTTCCCAGAAGGCTGCGCGGTGTCCGCTTGTCCCGGCTGTCATGGCGTGTTTGCTGAAGAAGGTGAGCGAATGGAGGTCACTGTTGGCATTTAGACTGTGGGGATAGAGTCAGCTCTAAAACCTCATTTTCCAGAGGTGGTGGGCATAACTGGCGCGGGACCGGCGGTGCTTTTGGGGGGCTCGATTTACACTTTCTTCGAGGGGATGACCAGGTTAAAGGCTCGTCTCGGAGAGCAGAAAAAAGCTGCGAAAGGGCGGATGGAGAGGCTGGTAGCGGGCTTTAGACCAGTGGCAACCCGGGGAGTCGTGGTTTAGCTTTTCCTAACTTGGTGGACTCGTGGAAACCATAGTAAACGGCATGAATGGTTGTTTTTGTTTTTGAACAGACCACGGGTCTCGTGGGGTTGGCTGTGTCCGACAGTCCACATGAGGTATGTACCGCTTTTCTTACGCGTTCCTGAGTTCTCAAGGACGGCTAGAACCCCGCGACCTTGTTTGTTGCAAGGTTAACGGAACACGGATATGTCCAGCCCCGAGTTACAACTCACGAAGTCTGTTGAAACAAGAGCAGTGTCTGCATAAGTTGATCCGATGCCACTTTTTTTTTTTCCCCATGACCTCTTTATTAAACATTTTTTGGTTTACCTTTTTCCCTTGGCGTTTTCATGGCTTCACTGAAAACGGCTGTTACCACACCATTTCTCACCACGCTTGTATAGGTAACTTGGAAGAATTGCTATAGAGTCCTTGACGGCGGCTAACTTGATTTAAACATTTTTTTCAACTTCGTGATGGTCTTACAAGGAGGTAGCCCCATCCTAAGTCCGGGAGCCTCTGGACTTGTGATAGTTTGATTTGCAATGGTTTGACTTAACTGTTTTTCGACTTTACGATAGGTTTATGGGGCTATTAAATGCATTTTTGATTTATGATATTGATATTTTTGAATTATGATGAGTTTACAAGGCTGTAGCACCATTGTAAGTCCAGGAGCATCTGCACTCACAGTCTCCAATTTCAGTCTTATTCTCCTCGAATGCACTTCAACTGTAGCCAGGCTACAGCTGCCCAAGGTCTCCAGTGACCTCCATGTTATCAAATCCAGCAGTTAGCTCACCTTTCTCATCTTCACTGGCCCCGTAGCTGCGTTTAACACATTTGACATTCTCTCCATCAAGCACTTTCTTTACTGGGCTTCTGGATTTGTCTCTCACTTGGTTTTTTGTTTGTTTGTTTGTTTTTTCTCCCCCTCCCTACTGTTTTGTCTTCTCCTTTTCTTGTTATTCCTTGTATCCTCACTTTAAAATTTGAAATTTTTGGAGTTCTTCAGGGCTTAGTTTTCTTGGACCTTTTCTCTGTTTGGATTTGCTCTGTTTTAGTGACTGGATCAGGAGAGAAAACCAGTTTAGTAGTTTTAAATGCCATCTATACATTGATAATTCTTATATTTCCATATTAGGCACTGATTTTTTATGAAAGCCTTTGTGCATGTGTGTATAAATATATAAATATTAATAAGTACGAGTATTTAAAACTAATTTCTTTCTTTCATGAGAGAGGGAGTTAGAAAGAGAGATAAAGAGAGTAAACAAGAGAGGCACTTCCAAAGTATCTCTGTGTCCATAAACAGCCTTAGCCAGCCAGGAGCATGGGCAGGTGGCTGTGCAAGTGTAGGGACACTCAGGATGGGAACCAGGACCTTCCTATATGGCTTCAGCATTATGGATTGTTTCATTATGCTGCACTACCATGACTCACCCAAAAGTCTTGTGCATTTTTTTTCAAGGTGTTTCTTTTGTAAAGGAGCCAGATTTGACACCTAGACTGAACATCTTCCAAAATTCTGTACAAATGTACGATATACAAATTTACACAAGGCTTTTGCCAAGAAAAGACATCACAATGACAAGTGACAGAGGTGGCTTTGGTGTCTCATACCACTCAGGGCATCTCATCCCCCTGGGAGTATGAGGGTGGATGGAAGTCTTATGTATTTATTTGCTTAGTGGACATCTCCACTTCTGTGTCAATAAGGCAACCAGAACTTAACATGTCCAAAATGGGATCCCTGATATTCTCCCTAAAACTCACTTTCCCTCTGTTTTTTTTTTTGCCATTCAAGTCTAAGTTTCCTAGTGTAAATTCCTTTTTTAACATCTTTAAGTTTCCAAGTCCTACTATTCCTACAGATCTATCTTAGATACTACCTTTTCCATCAACTGTTCTCTGGGCCTTGCCTAAATGACTCCTCCTTCCAGAAGAATAATAATGCTAATATTTTTTTAAACTTACTGTGTGCTAGGTGCTGTTTTACATTTAGACAACACCCTATGAAATATGTATTATTCCCCAATTTTAAAGATGAAGCTTAGAGGCATCAAGATCAAGACTAAAGTAACTTGTTCAGTAGAACTGAGGAGTCGAGCCAGCGTAAACCCAGGCACTCAGATTTTAGATAAGCACACACACAACCACTACTAAGTATTACCTCCCTGTTCTACATCTTTCTCCCCACTTCCGAACACACACTTATTTTTTTATTTTATGGTATTTATAATTTTTTCTTCTTCAATGTCCTCCTTGTAATACTCCAAACATTGGGAGCAAGATTCACATCCAATCTATCTTTCTATCCAGGCTGCAAGTGTGAGTATTGAGGACATTCGTATTGAAAATATGAATGTTCTTTAGGAGAAGGGTTTATATACTGTGATATTGAAATCCGCCCCCCAGAGCAACCATATGTCATGTTTGCCTAGACTTTTCTGATTTACACTTGTGTTTTAGCATAATAATTAATAGTGTTTTCTTTCACTGTGAGAAGTGTCCCAGCTTGGATAATTAGATAGCTTCCCCATTCATAATATTCCTTCTTTTCTCAGTACTATATTATTTAGCCCAGATTCTCATTTGTATTTCTCTAGGAACAGATACATTTTTACAAGGGAAGATGAAAGTAAAAAAAAAAAAAACAATTAAAGCCAAATTTTAAGTCACACTAAAATGCCATTTCAAAGACTAGTATGCACATTTTATAACTTGGAAGGTTAAGGATTGATCCTATCAATGAGCTAATGTTTATAAATGTATTTTTTTTTCTTTAGGAATGCAATTAAGAAACAAAAGAGAGATTTGCAGTGCCTAGAACCTCAGTTTAAGAAAGATTGATTACTAAATGATTGAATTTCTAAGACAAGTCATTAGCACTAAGTTGATTTTATTTCTTCTTATTTTCATATATTTGACTTACGTACAACTTTTGCTATACTTGCACCATACAGAAAGCGTTTTCACATGTATGCTCAGATTTTTAAATCTTTATAGAAATTTGTATGATTTGTCTTTTCAGCGCCTGAGAATATTGTATGCAAAGATTCTTGAAATTCTTCAGCAAATGCCTAAAAATGCAGCGTATAGAAAATATACAGAGCAGATAACAAATGATAGGCTGGGTATGGTGAAAGCGGTAAGTAACTAAATAATTTTTGTTTTCTTTGATTTATGGGAAGTTAACATTTCTTTTGTTTTCATGTTTTTCTTAAGGAAAACAAACATTTTTTGTTTATATATTTTGTTTACTTATATTTTTTGTTTACTTAAATATTTTGTTAATAAACAAATTCATACATTATAGAGTATGAATTTCCCTTTGCTTTTCATGAAGTGAATCTTTTTCTTACTTTCTTTCTTGATAATCTTTTTCTCCTTTCCCTATAGTCTTAATTCTCCATGCTCTCTTTAACTTCTCTCATTTTATCATCATCTTTCATATAGACTAAAAATGTTTTTAGCTTGCTTCTATTTTAAAAGAAAAAAAATGGTTTTCCTATCTTTCTCTTTACATAGTGCCCTATTTTTCTCTTTATCGCTGATGCCAGTGTCAACCAAAGAATTTTTCACTGTCATTACTTCTCCACTTATTAGTCCTAAAATCCTTTGTTCAGCTATTTCAGCAGACCTACAACTAATTGATCTGTTTGTAGTCCCATCATACATTATATGGGGACTCCAAAAAGTCGAATTAAATATGTGTTTATGTTGGTGCAAAAAAGTTTTGAAATTCACACATAATTTTTTCATAATACTCATTTTCCAGGAACTTCTCAAAAACGGCTCGTATATCCCATACTGCCAATTTTTTTCAATATGTAAACCTTATTGTAATATCAGTACTTTACTTCTTCAGCTCTTACTATTGTATCCTATTCATTATTTCTCAAAGGCTGAGTTTAAGGAGTTAGACTGAGCTAGTTGTATGAAACTTGCTTAACCATCTTTATCTGTATGACTTTGATACACAACCATATTTAGAAATCATTGGCTTAACAGGATGACGTTCTTAGCATCATACAGAAGGCTCTCCAAAGTCTGTATTTTATGTGTGTTCTAGTCCTTTGCTCCTTTGAATGGCATTGGATCATCTTTATATCCTAAGAATCTAGCATGGTTTTTGGCACATAGGGTTCCTTAGAAATATTTATAGATCCAAAAAGGTAAATACAAATTGTTTTTAACAACCCCAAGCTTCATTCTTCTGATTCTTGTTTTCAGTAAAATTACCATAGATGTTAACCATGCATAGAGCCACTCACAAAGTCTTTAGTGAATATTGAAATGATTATAAAGTATCTATTTACTAAGCCCAAAGTGGAAATAAGTGTTAAATAATTTTTCTTTTCCAGATTACTACTAATGAAATAGTAATAGCATACTGGTGAGGAGCATTAGTTTTTAATCCTGTCCACGATTTTCATCTCAGCTTTACTACTTCCTGAATAACTTGCATATGCCCATTTTCTCTGGCCCAGCTTCTTCCTCTGTATGTTAGTATAATAATATTTACCTTGCACATTCATTGTTAGGATGTAAAAAGCTTGATATAGTCATAGCCATTTAGTGAGCATTCGGTACGTGGTACTGTATTAAACTTAATAGCATTTTGCCTTTGGCAAATAAAAATCAGTATTGATTTATTGTCAGTAAGACAATTTTGAATTGTTTTAACACAGGCTTTTCTTGAGTTGAAAATATTGTTAAACTTTCTTTGCCTTATTAACCTTCACCCTCCTGGGCATCTTATACCACTTCTTTGTTTTATTTTTTTTTTATTTTTAGCTATATAGCTGAGTTAATTCTGTGCTAAATAAACTTTGTCAAACATGCTAATAAGTTTTCCCCTTCTTTCCCCCTTTTCAACTATGTTTTATAATTTATTTAATGAATATAAAAACCCCACCATTGATTGAATGACTTTATATGCCATACGTGTTATGGGCCTGGAGGCTTGTGTCTAGAAGGCCGTGAATCAAATAAACAAAACTCCCTGCCCTCTTGGCAATTATTTGTTTGTGTTGCAAGACCAGAAGAGTAAGTAAATAAAGATGTACGTAGTATGTTAGAAGACAGTAAGTGCACAAAAGGAAAATGAAACAAGGAATAATGAATGATCTGTGCCATGGAGGGGACTAGGATGCTACCATTCGTGTGTATTAGTTTCCTAGGGTTGCTATAACAGATTACTACAAACTCAGTGGCATGAAACTATGGAAATTTATTATCTTACTTTTCTGGAAGCCAAAAGTCCAAGAACCTAAATCAAGGACTTCCAGGCCACGCTCTCTGGAGGGAAGTTCTAGGGTAGGATTTGTACCTTGCCTCTTCTGGTTTCTGGCAAATTGCGATATTCCTTGATTTTTGGCCTCATTGTTCCCATTTCTACCTTCATAGTCATATTACCTTTTCCTTTTCTGTGTATAATTTCCCTCTTTTATAAAGATGCTTATAATTAGGTTTAGAGCCCACACCGATAAACTAGGACAGTTTTTCCATCTTAAGCATCTCTAATTCAAAAGTCCCAAATACTCCAAAATCTGACATTCTTTGAGTATCAACATGATGCCGCCTATAAAAAATTCCCAGCTGACCTCATGTTCCAGTCAAAACACTGCAATATGGGATCAATAGATGGTGTACTGGTTACACTGTTGGACTCCCACATGGCCAACCATGGTTCGAGTCCTGGACCCAGTGTCTTCAAAGACACACTGGGTGTGTGTGTGTGCCCAAAACCCTAAGAGGAGAATGGAGGAGAAGGGATTGCAGCATGGCCATCCTCCATCGAGGCTGCTTTCTTGTTTTCTGTCTCTCTGTCTCTGTGTTTACGGTGAACAAACATGCTCTATAGCAAAACATCTCTCTACAAAAATGAAACAAAAGAAAACAAAGATCCCACTGTGATATAAAAATATTACATAAAGTTATCTTCAGACTACATGTATAAGGTATATATGAAACATAAATGAACTTCATGTTGAGACTTAGGTACCATCTCCAAGATTATCTTATGTATATGCAGACATTCCAAAATCTGAAGAAGTCCAAAATCTGGGCTGCTATGGCACTAAAAATTTTGGAAAAGGAATACTCAACCTGAATCATAATTTATTGATCCATTCTATCATAGATGATCATTTAGATTGTTTCTGGCTGGGGACTGTAATGTTACTGTGAATATTCTTAAACATTTCATTTGATTATTATTATCCATTTCAGTTTGGTATGTATATAGCAGTGGAATTACTAATAGATCATAGGGTAACTTTTTTTTTATAATGCTAATACTCATAGAAGAAATATAGAAAATATAAAGAAAAGGTGATATTTTAAAATCTATTTTAGAAAAAGTGAATTAAGTATCATACATCTTACCCCTGATAAACATGTCAATAAACACATAACACTTTTCATATTAAAACAGGAAATTAGCAGAGAGATAAGGTGGATTTTCACCAAATATTTGTTAAAAACTTAGTAAAGCATGATGAAGAGTTATGTTCATTATAAATCATAAGATATTAAAACATTCAGATATTGTCTTCCTTTGTTTAAATCTTTTTTCTTTTTGTCCCCTAAAATTATAGGAATCAGATGTTAAAAAATTAGAAGACCAACTTCAGGGTGGTCAAATAGAAGAGGTGATTCTTCAGGTAAAGAAAAAGTTGAATGTTGAGGTTTAAAATGTTGAATGTTGCAGTTTAAAATGTTCATTTTATCTTGAGGCACAAAACTGACATTACAAAAAGGAAGGAAAACTAAATTTCTTTATACCCACTCATCAAGTCTGTATAAACTATATCTAACACTATATATGTAAACTATATTTAACGCTATATATATATGTGTGTGTGTGTATATATATATATCTATATATACACACATGCACACACACACACATTACTATATTTAACATTGTATAAACTATATATAACACTATATATAGAAAATTTGGTACTTCTAACATCAATATGAATGTCATTTAAATGTTTATCATTGGTTATAGCTTGAATTTATAAAGTGTTTGTTGCTAATTTTCGAATTTTATATATGTTTTCTTTAGTCTTACCTTAGTTTAAATTAGTAATACAATGTTGCTATTATTTCAATAATGCTATATCTTTTTAGATATGATTGCTTATTGTAAGAGTTTGGTATGATTTTACTATGAAGAAATACAGATGTGTTGTGTAATAAAATTAAAATGTACTTTAATTTTTGGTTGTAACTTTGACCAAGTTAAAATAAAAAAAATTTAAATGCTTAGATGATTTTTACATTGCTTCCATACTACTAATTTTTTAATAAATAATGATATTGCATAAAAGATAAGCAGGATTATGGAAGGGACATTAGGATTAGAGAAATGATCACTAACATTAAATGCATTTAGAATATTTAAATCTTAATCTGTAAATCTCTTTTTTCCCTCTCAGTCACTACATGAAATAAAAAAAAGTTAAATATTTTTTTCTTTGATGTTTTCTTTTTTCTTCCATGAATGAGAGAGACAGAGAGAGATAGGGAACGACCGAAAGACCCTGTGATTGACTCCCAGCCTTAGCCAGCTCCCAGATTACAGCACACACATCCTCGGTGTGTTCAGGGGAGTCTCTGGACACAACATTGGAACTTCCTGTATGAGTCAGCCTTGCAGAGCATTGTGTTACTGCTATGCCTTCCCCCGCCCCATTTTTTTTTTTTTTAATGACAGGGTCTTGCCATGTCAGTTTCCTCCTGCCTCAGCCTTTCCCCAGCTGGAACTACAGGCATGTGCCATTACGTTCGGCTTCTTTTTAGATGGGATTTTACTGTTTAGCCCAGGCCAGCATCAAGCTCATGATTCTCCTGTCTTGGCCTTCCCAGGTTGCCAGGATTACATGTGTGCCTCTGTGTCTAGCCTTTAGGTTGGACTGAGAATTACACCTTGGGTTTCTGTGTACTCCTGGCCTGCGGAGCGGAGTGTTTTAGCATTGCTGACCCCTGCAAGTAGACCAAAAAATCACAGTTTACGTCTATTCCATCCCCCGCCCCATTTTTTTTTTTTTTAATGACAGGGTCTTGCCATGTCAGTTTCCTCCTGCCTCAGCCTTTCCCCAGCTGGAACTACAGGCATGTGCCATTACGTTCGGCTTCTTTTTAGATGGGATTTTACTGTTTAGCCCAGGCCAGCATCAAGCTCATGATTCTCCTGTCTTGGCCTTCCCAGGTTGCCAGGATTACATGTGTGCCTCTGTGTCTAGCCTTTAGGTTGGACTGAGAATTACACCTTGGGTTTCTGTGTACTCCTGGCCTGCGGAGCGGAGTGTTTTAGCATTGCTGACCCCTGCAAGTAGACCAAAAAATCACAGTTTAATTTTGAACAAAATTTGAATTCTTTCCCTTGGTCATAGAGAGGTTATAGGAATAGATATGCTGTAAAAGAAAATAGGCTGGAAAAAAACACTCTTGAGTATTTGGTACTTGATTTTTTTAAATCATCTACAATACTTTTGTTATTATAGTTCTTTTTAATACTAAGTCTTCAAATTCCGGTGTGTACTTTATACTTGTAGCACATCTGAATTTGGAGTAGCTGTGGTTCAAGTACTTAATAGCCATATGTGCATGGGTAGTGGCTTCCATATTTGACAACCCATTACTAGGGGGATGGTATGAGAGGAATAGGAAAAGGATAGTGTATCACAGGCCAGAGAAGAGGCAGGGAGTAGGCAAGAGGGACCAGAGGGAGCTGGGTCCAAGTCCCTGCTGAAATAGCGCTATTATCAATGATGTTTAGAGCAGGCGCCCTCCCACCCTCCAGAGCCTTGGGGAGGCAGAGAAAATATAGATGTTCAGGAGACCCAAGATAAAAGATGATCAGGGGAACAACTATCCTTAGGGAATATTTTATCAGTATTTATTTTATCAGTATTCTCATTTCAACATTAGTAATACTTCTACCCCCAGATTTCCATTAATCTGCTCTTTAACTCATTATATACTTGCTGCTAGACATTGATTGGCTTTTTGGACCACTGGCATAAGTAAGGCCTTCTCTTCATTGCAGAATAATAATAGCCTCTAATATAATCTAAGCTCTTACTCTGTTTGAATTCCATGACATCCTGACTAGCGTTTAATGATGTTTGTTTTCTAAGTGGGCTGTAGTTACCAGTCTTTGGGTTGTAGGAAAATAAATGTGAAATAACAACATATTTAAAGTATATTTGTAAAATATGTTATAAATTGTGTTTTAAAGGAGAGATTAAATGAACATAATCTGATTAAGGAGTAATTCAATAAGTAACTATTTATCATTCACTTGTTGCGTTTTTCCTACATTCCATAGATCACTGTTTTACAAACTTAGGGTCTAAAGTGTTATGTGTCATGAAATCATTTGATTGGTTGTGATTAGAATTTGAAAAAAATGCAATGAAAATAGAGTGTATTATTGCTAGTACAAATGGTTTTTGCAGCTTTATTTTAGTTATATGTGTGTATTCTGGATACCATAATAAAATGTATTTTTTTTACTGTGGGCCATGCTAAAATAAAGCCACTGATGTAGAATGAAGAGACATACAATTGTACTTCTGATATTCAAAGAACTTGTGAAACATAACATAAAAAACAACTAAGTTTTGAACACATAATTTTAGCAGATTTCAGTCAAATAAAAAAGGTATCCTTTCTTAGGATCAAGTAACTGAGAATTGAGATCATTTAATTATGCAATTTTTAACATTTGATGGAAGAACAATGAGATGTTGACAGGAGATTAGTAGCTGTAATAGTTGTTTCAGTTACTAACTTTGATTAATGTTTGTTGAACAGTAAATGAAATGATCTTTCAAAAAATTTTTATCAACAGGCAGAAAATGAACTAAGTCTGGCAAGAAAAATGATTAAATGGAAACCATGGGAGCCATTAGTGGAAGAACCTCCTGCTAACCAGTGGAAATGGCCGATATAATCCTCCTTAAATGACTTTGGTGGGAAACTGATGTCACTAAATGTCCTATCATAGTAAAGATGTTTCCATATTCTTGGCATCTTATAGTCAAGAAAATTTATATAGAACATATTTAGGAACTTTGTTAAAATATTTTACTATGGAAATAGGGTCTCGAGACTAAATTTCTAATTGTTAAAGTATTCCGTTTCATTATTTCAAAGAGAATATTTCTTTAAATGGAGGTTGTGGGATTTCAGAGTTAATTAGAAAAAGTCCTGTAGATATTCATTTTAGATGCCATAATTAAAATGTGAACTATCTTTAGTAATATCTTTAATATGTTATTTAATTTTATTATACCCCTCCAAAAGAGAAAAGACCCTTAATTATTACATTTAAACAAATTCATACATCAGGATTGGAAGTAAAGTCATAAAGTCAAATATATAATTACATATTGATTGCCAAATACATTATAAATGTCACTTTATTTTAGTCTGTATCTGAATGATTTATGTCATTTACTCATTTTCGTATTGTCTTCATACAAAGATAGTTGGGAAAGCTTTTCCTCTATTTTTTTCCTTTTAGGAAGTTAGCTTGATGACCCTTAGCCTTTATTTTCTTGATCAACCCAACTATTAATACATCAGAATAAAGGTAAAATATTTTTAAAAGAAGAAATAGTAAGAATTCTTCATTAAGAAAGAATTCCTTCTAAGAAGTTTATCTGGCATGTGGTTAGACTTTTGGTCAAAGTATGTTAGCCTCTGGGTAAAACTTCAAAGTGGAATCATCATGTAATTTTTACTAAATTTCTAATGTGGGTGCAGCTGGGTATCACGCAGAAGAGTAATGCTGTTCATTAAGAAGTTGGCAAGCTTATGGTTAAACGAAGATAAAATTCTCATGTGTCCTCACCTTTTCTGTTTAGTTTTCCATCATTTAAAAATACCTGATTAAATTTAACTTGGTCATTCTTTTCTTCACAGAGAATACTTTTTTCTTTCTGTGTGTGTTTGTTTAAAATGTATCTATTTCTTCTATGAGTGACAGAGACAGAGAGACATACAGAAAGACAGCACCCACAGCCGGGTCTAGACACTGCCATCCACTCCCAGTCTCAGCACGTCCTGTATTATGGGCACATGTGCACGCGGCATTCTCAGGGAGATCTGTGACATGAGTGTAGAACGTTCCCATGGGGGTCAGCCTTGTAGACTGCTGTGTTTTACTCTGCACCACCGTCTGGCCCTATGTGTGTATTTGACTGTCTCATGGCAAACAAAATCATTCTGAATGAGGAAAAAAATGATTATTTTTTCTTCTTGTAGTATATTTCTTCCCTCATAGAGCTATAAGATAAATGATAAATAAGTATTATATAAAATAGATTGAGATTATTATCTGGCAGTCAGATTGAAAGAATACATCCTGAGGACTTTTTTTTAAAAGAATTATTTAATTTTATTATTATTATTTTAATTTGCTATAGGACATGTACACTCACCAGAGAGAGAGAGAGAGAGAGACGGAAGTGAGAAAGCAAGCTGCCAGGTCCAGGACTTGAACTGCAGTGGAAGTATAGTGCCTCAACCACCATGCCACCTGCTGGCCCTTTGGGAGCTGTTTTTTTAAAGGAGGAATAAAATTCAGAAAAGTATTAGAGGGAAAGTAAGAAGTCCTAAAGTTTTTTTTTTTTTTTTTTTCCTTTTTTTTTGGGGGGGGGGGGTTTTGCTATGGGGCATGTGTGTTCCCCAGAAAGAGAGACAAAAAGTGAGAAATCATCCCCCAAGAGGGATGGCCATGCCGCAATTCCTTCTTCATTATCTTCTCGCATGCACATGCGCCCGGTATGAGTTTAAGCCACTGGGTCTGGGACTTGAACCACGGTTGGCTACATGGGAGTCCAGCGTCATAGCCATTTTGCCAACTGCTGGTCCCGAAACCTAGAAGTTCTTATTCCTATAGTTTTAACAGCATTTGGAACTCAGTGACTGAGTTGAGGTAAGATGTTGACCTTGCAGAATGACTATTTTCTTTGTAAAATAAGTAGAATTTATGACTTATGACTTCCTTTTGGGTTCTTAATATTTATTATACTTAAATACATAATATGTTTACCGAGGTCAAAATACATGATTCTATATCATGTGTGGATGAATACTTCCAAGCTAATTTTCAAACCAACCGTTTTTATAGGTCCTTTCGAGCACTTAAAAGCAGAAAGATGATACTGCCTTCATCATACTTTCAGTCCTATTCTTCCAAGATTATTTTATGTTTCACCAGTAATGTTACCGAAGTTTTATTGATAAAAGGAGACTTTGTGGTTTGGTCACTGCTTAAGAGGCTGGATCCCATGGGACCAACGGTCTGTTTTGAGTTCCCAACGCAGTGACGTGAGAGACATACTGAGTGCATAACTTCGCATGCCCAAATTCCAAGTTGGAGAAATGGAGAAGGGATTGCAACATTACCATATTCGCCCGAGGAGTCCTTTTTCCTCTATCCCTTTCTCCCTGTCTCTTTCTGGCAAGCACGTGTACTCTCTGACAAACTTTTGACAAAGGGAGGAGGGTCTGTATTGATATTTACAATAGAAATATTGTAGAATCACAGTCATGTGTAATTTTTGACTCCCCCAAATTTAACTACTCATAGTCTGCTCTTTACTGGAGGCCTTGCTGATAATGTAAAAGGGTTGATTAATACCTATGCTTTATCTTATATGAAAGGTATTCAGAAAGTTCATGGAAAATACATGTGAAAAACTAGGCATACATTTCAAAAGTTTTTTGCACTAAATAAACATCCTTTTTTAAAAAATTTGCATGCATTAGCTGGAGGGAGAAAGGGAAAGTGAGAAAGCACTCTCCCATTGGGGATGGCCATGCCACAATCCCTTCTCCATTCTCATCTCAGGATTTGGGGCATACATACACTCACACACAGCATATTATCCAAGTTGTCAGGTCTGGGACTTGAACCATGCAGTCAGCCATGTGGGATCCAGCCTCCTTAACCACCATGCTACCGCCTCCTTAACCACCATGCTACCGCCTGGCCCTAAATGCTTACTTTGGTTGTATTTTTCCACACTTTTTGAAGTCTTTTTGTATGAATTATATACTGTAGTCTTTCAATAAAATAAGCTAGACAAAAGAAAATGTTATTAAGAAAATCCTAAGGCAGAGAAAATACATTATAGTACTGTATTATATTTTCTAATAGGTTTATTGAGAAGCATCTGTATATGATAAACCTGTGCAATCAAACTGGTGGTGTTCAAGGATCAGCTGTACTACTGTTTTACTATAATATCAAGGGTAGAATTAGAATGATAGTGAGATGTAAACAAAATAGCTCATGTTTTCTGAGACTAATAGTGAATATGTAACTAATTTTATCCATTAAATCTGTGCTACAACCCTGAGGGAAATACTGCAAATTACGTCTGCTTTTCAGATATTGAAACCATTATGAGTACTGCTGCTGTGTAGTTGTACAACACGGGGCCCTGGAGCAAATGAGGCAAAGGGATGGTAAGATGTGGAGCTCAATTTTGAACTTGAACACTCTGGCATCAGAATTCATCCTTCCCTTACATTAGTCTATAAATATTTAGGAATGATGTCACTGCCTGCACTATATGGACCATAGCAAGCAAACCTAGATCCTGCCCTCTTGATTTTTTTCTGTCAAAGTACCTGTTAAGAACAAGTAGGTATAAACTGGTTTTCATTTTGTACAAAGACCTTAGGCAGATAATGGTAATCGACAATGCCTTGCAATTTGGCCCATCATTCTTGTGCATTCACTAACCGCCATCCCAACTGCCCACACCACATAATCGCTTTTACTCCTTCAAAACTTTGTTTCCTATAAATTTCCAGGTTAAGCATCTTGATCACCTTGTGGTCGATCCTTCTATTGAAAGGTCCTCTGTCTTGCCAAGTGACTTCTAGCCTAATTTAAGTATTTCAGAATGGCCTATTTTACTTCTCTAGTCTCCCCATATGTTTCATTCAAATTAATCATCACGCTCTGTCCAGATATTTTACAATAAAGAGAAGCTAGTCAGTTTGAACTTTGCAAGCAAAGAAGAAAATAGCATTAAAGTCAACACCCTCTTATTCTCATACCTAGACTTAGTGCAGAATATTCCTGTATCTGAACATTCTTTCCTTTCAGATGAAAATGGCTGAAATGTAAGATAACAGTATAATTAATCTTTCAACCGGGAATGATTTTGAAAGTTAAAAGGAGTAATACTTTGATAAGAGTACCATGTACACGGTGACTATCCTGGGCAAATAGGACATATGCACTCTACTGGAGTAAGGCTCACCTTGAGGTTGCTATCTTCCCTACAAGCTAGAGAAGTAATCTGTCACCTGAATAAGACGATGCCAATGGTGGAAGCTGTTGTGCCACCAGGTAGCCATCGTGTGCCAGTAGGTCTCAGGTTTTTTCCTTTTTTACAATTGCCAGAAAGACAGTGAGTGAGAAATCACCCATACCATGGGGGATGACCATGTTGCAATCCCGTCTTCATTTCTCCCTCCTTTCAGGATTTTGGACACACACACACATGCGCCCAGCATGTTTTTTCAAGCTGCAGCATCCAGGACTCTAACACTGCAGACAGTCATGTGGGATCCAGCTCCCTTAACCACTGTGCATCTGGCTGGCCTGTCAGATTTCACTGTGTCACTTCACTTTATTATTCTCCCCTCACCCAGTCTTTGCCTCAGAACTGAGGGAAGGAAACTAACTGATCTTTTATTGCCTATTTTCTTTTTCAATCCTAAAGCACAAAGGAGTGAAGCTAAATAAGCCAATAACAATATCTATGAATGTGTCATTTTTGAAAGGGGAAAAAATATCAATGTCTATATAGGAAAATTTCCATGTGCAGGCAAATAATCAGCTTTATCTTTTCCCTTTCAACCTCCATGTGTTATATAAGTAAACAAGTTAGCAATCTAGGCAAATGTAGGCTGTGGTTTAAGGTTAAGAACCAAACTGCTGAACATAATCACAAGTATTTTGCATTTGCCAAGTACTGTCTTTCTGTTAAAACTCAATATTCACCAAGATTGTAGCTTATGTTACAAAATAAGTTGCTTGTTTTTTGAGAACAACTAATGAGAGAGAAAGGTTTTGGTTAGAGGAGGATGGGGTTTTGTTTTTGATAGAAGTTACAGGAAATGAAAGTGGGAATGTGATATCAGATTTGAATTGTTGATGAGGGACTAAGGAAATTTATTTCAAGATCTTTCTTCAGAGGCAAAAGCCGAAACAGTAGAGAATGAAGAAAGGTTGTGACTTAGCATAGGCTATATTTAAATCCCAGCATCTTAACCCAAGTTTGTTTCTTGTTCATACAAAATGTCTAAGGAGAGTTGACAGAGAGTGCTCATAATAGTCAAATCGGGGATCAAGATTAGAAAGGCACCATATCAACTCATGCTTCCAATAATGCATGACAGGGGAAAGGAAACATGGCGAGTCACACAAAGAAACGAAAACAAAACTAAGAAAGAAACCATTACAGAATTTATTTGAAAATGCCATAGAATTAATAAATTAAGTTCATCATGCATTGTTAATAAGCTTCATGATGATCTTTATGTTGGCAGCTAATTTTTTTGTAGTGCACTTAAATGTAATTTATGGTAAATTAATGTCTATGCATGATTAAATAAAAAGCATGGCATAAATGCCTTCATTTGGGGAGTGCTCAGATTTTTAAAAAAAATTTTAAGAGAGGTTTTTGCTATAGCATGCCAGCACTTGCTGGAGGGACAGAGACAGAAAGTGAGAAATCATCCACTCTCCCACCAAGGGGAATGGCCACACAATCCCTTCTCTTTTATTCTCCTCTCTGCATCTTGGGGATGCACACATGCACATACACACACAAACACACACACGCCCAGTGTGAAAACTCAAGTCGCTGGGCCCAGGACCCAAACTGCAGTTGGCTGTGTGGGAGTCCAAAGATGTAACCAATACGCCATCTACTGGTAGCAGATTTTTAAATGTTAAAGGTTTATTATTTAGATGAGTTTTTTTGGCTTTTCTAAAGATAAGCATTACTATTTACTACAGAATATTACATTTTATTATCTTTTTCTAACTGGATGTTTTTTTTTTCCCATTAGAATAAAAATAAGTCTTCAATTCTTCATCTAAATTCCAAATCCCCAAAATCTCTGAAAACTGAAAGTTTTGTATAACTCACTTGGAAACAAAACTTGACCTAAATTGATATAAGACTATTTTGTGGTCTGTATCCCAGTTTAATGTAAATATGAATATATTTTGCTACAGATGTATTTGATTCTGGAATGCTTCTCTAAGCCCACTAAAGGCATCATATAATATAAAACATATGTCCATATTTCCTTTCAAAAATCTCAAAATACTGAATATTAAGTAGCTCTGTTTTTAGAAAAGGGGCCATGAGCCTGTATCTCTTAACAAGCTCATATAGAGTTTATGATTCATTTAATTTAATTCATATATATAATTTTAATTCATATATATAATTTTAATATCCTTAGTTTTCTAAATTATTCTAATTTTTTTCCCAATTCATTATTCATTCACATCAGGATATATTTTAGTCTGGAATAACAATGGGAAGTATTTTGAAATGCTTTATTTTATTAAGCCACTAGATGGCATCTTTGTAAAAATAAAAGCACATTAAAAGAAATCTATAAAGGCTGAGATAAAAGTAGTTGTTTCATGAGAAATAAAGATAAGTCATTTTGGACAACAAATCCTGAGGAAATGCATACGTTTATTGTGCAAAGTAAAATGGAAATGTAAAATTACTTTTCCACTTTTTGAATTCTTTTTCCTGTTAGTTTTCATTGAGCTTGCATGTACATCTATGTTATGTAACCAACAAACTGTGTGTTTCATTTTGATGTGCCAGTAAGTTTTCTAAGCTGCATAAACTACCCAGGAAGCCTTAGTTAGGGTTCCTATTATAAGACTGAGTTGTATAAAGTCATCTCCACAACAGACTATAAATGAAATATAAACATATAGTATCAAGCCCTCCCCGCCCCGCTAGGGAAATGGGGGAATGAGGGTGTAAATCCTGCAGTCCTTTTTCCTTCATTCGTCTCCCGGGATCTTGGGCACACACGCACATGCGCTCTGCCTGAGTTTCAAACCACCGTGTCTGGGACTTGAACTGTGATGTTGACCATGTGAGAGTCCAGTGACATAACCACTGCATCATATGCTGGCCACCATGAAAAATCAATTTCAATGGAAAGACCCCGAGAAGTAAGTGCTTAAACCTTTGGGATTCTCATTAATAACAACATTTAAGTTTCATTATTGTCTTTTATTTCCTTTGTTCTTCATGAATGTGTGGAAGTGACTAAAGTATATTTGTGGTTTATTTAAAATCATTAAAACAAAGCCAATATTTTTTTCTGAGATACATATTTTGTAGTGTATTAAGAAATATCTGTTATTAAAATGAGATGAGGACTGAAAAAATGGTGTTTCCTATTAGGAAGACATTGAGAAGATGAGTACATTTTCAGCAAAATGGTGTAAAGAAAAGAAAACACTGAACATTATGAATTAAAGAATGGACCTGTACTATGTATGAAAACTATTTTGGTTTTTACTAATCTTACATTTTTCTTAAATATCAAAAGGTATTCAATCAAACAGCATAGAATAGTGGTTTAAAGTCTAGATTCTGGAATCAGACTGCTTGGATTTAATCTTGGTTTTCACTAAGCCTCTATGCCTTAGTTTCTTCAGTATGGTGGGACGAATAGCATTCCTTCTTAATAAAATTGTTGGAATTATAAATACACACACACACACACGCACACACACACACATACACGGTGCCTAGTGACAATGAATGACAATGAGTGTCAGGTGTCATTAGGAGACAACCACTTGAAGTTTGTTTCTACATTTGCGACAGAAACATTCTTGGTCTTTCTCCAATACTATCTTACACTTCTTTAAGAACTTTCTTAAGGAATTTAGTGATTAAAAATACACAATTTGATAATTAACAAAAGCTTTGCGTTTCCTGATTTATAAGGGAAATTATGAAATAGCCCCTCTCTCCTTTTTTCCCTTTGGCTGCCCAGAAGCTAAGAGCCAAGTTCTGAACAGAAGCAAACAGACACCTGCTGTTGTGCACAAACCCGTGTCCTTTGTCGATTTCTTGCCTCTCATATATTCTCAGATTCTGATTTTTTAATATTTGTAAGTTTAAATAGCTTTTGGTATGGATTTCGGAGAACAGTACCCTTTCACAAGGGTAAACGGACCTTTAGAAAATAATACCTGATGTATTTTTGGATCTATCAGTGGATAGCCAGCTGGAGCAACTGGCTCCTCCTTCCCCGTAGCTTTTCTCTCCCCTCCTCTCCCCTGGCTCCTTCCCTTCCCTGCCCCCTCCCCTCTGGCTCCTCCTCGTTCCTTTTCAGCACTTGTCACCGCCTCTCCTCGCGGGGCAATGCCCCTGGCGGGAGGAGGTGGCAAGGGGACCGTTGCTAGGTTACGGCCGGCAACAGAGTCCAGACAGTGTCGACACTGCTCCCAAGGACCCTGAGAAACTGCTTCGATCCGGGTAGCCGCGTTTCTTAGTAAGGTAGGAAGACAGATGTGGGCTGCCTCTGCTGGCTGGACACCTAGGCCGGGTCTTGAACCGGTGACCACCTCTGTGGACTCTGAGGAATTTGTGTGGGAGCTGGTCCTGCCTGGGCACCAGAGGCTGCCTGGTTGGCAGGGGGAATGTTTCACTTTTACTTTGGAAACTATGCAAAGCATCCCACTTTCTTTGGCCCCTTTTCTGTTCTCACCTCTGATTTGGTATTCGGAAGCTGCAGCATTAAGCTAGGAGGTGTGCATCACCACACGCCCGAGTGCTTATCCCAGTAATCTTAGAAAAGCGAGGCGTGTTAGTGTAACTCAGATCTGGCTTCAGCCTCTCCTGCAGACGTTTTGAGACTATAACATGGAAATCTTGTACCTCACTAGGCACACTCGCACCTTCGGTTCACCTATGGCCTTGGCCTCTTAAACGTTCCACGAGTAAGTCCCTCTATTCAGTAAAAAGCTAGGCTGGATCTCTGCCTTTCTACTTACACCAGCGTTCTAGATGTATCAAACCTCCATGGGGACATTTTTGGTGTATAAACATAGTGCAGCCGGCCTTTTCACTTTTAAATAATAAAATTAAAACACGTTTGAATAGGTAATACATAGAAGTGACAAGTTCAAACAACAAAAAGGATCAACAGTGAAAAATTTCCCTTTTACCCGTCCTCCTCCTGGTCAGAGGTGTTCTGGGCATATACAGATGAGTGGTCCTATCTGTCATATTGCACAGGTCGTTCCGTGCCTTACTCTTAGCATGGTTGTCTTGGAATCATTCTCTATCAGCATTTACAGATCTCCCTCATTTTATGTATGCGTGGATGAATGTATGTGTTACGTTTCTCAGCATATCATGAAATCCGGAAGCTAATAGACAAAGAGATCAGTAAGTTTCACTACCTAACAATGTTGAATTTCTATATCATAAAAAATAACATAAACAGCATCACATGCATAATGGGAAATATAATTGCAACATACAGCAAAGGGGCGTTTAATTATCAAATTAGAAAATAAAGTCATGTAGGGAAAAAAAGGAAACAAAGTGCTATTCTTGGGGCTATGATAAGATACTTGACTATTAGAAAACTTGGTGGATTTAGAATTAAGGTCTGTGTGACCTAATTTTGGCAACTTATTTTATAGTAGATCTACACATGTGTATAGAGATATATGTAGATGTTTATGACAACACTCTCTTTAATAGTAAAAAGGTGGAGATAGGGGAAAAAAATGTCCATAATAGAGCAACGGCTGAATATCACATAGCTTAGCTCTGCCATGAACTTACTATGAAGTTGTAGAAAATGAGGCAGAATCATGTTTTATGAGAAATAAATACATTAAGAAACACGTAGACTAGTGATTAAAGGAGCTGGAGCCCATATGGCTGACAGTAGCTTGAATTTTGGCCCCAGTGGCTTGGAAAACATGCCAGACACATGCCCACCCAAAATCCCATCAGTATGGATTATAGCATGACCACAGCCCATTGTGTGTTGCTTTCTCCCCTCGTTTCTTTCTGGGGAGTACAAGTGTGTTCTGGCAATTTAAAAAATAGGAATATGATAAGTATATATTAAATAGAAAAATAAGTTGTGAAATAGTATCAAAGTTAGGGACTAGTAGATGGCTTAACAGTTACATTGCTGGACTTCCACATAGTCTACTGCGATTGGAGTCCTGGACCTGGTAGCTTCAAATTCATGCCGGGCACGTGTGCATGTGCCCAAAATCCCGAGAGGAGAATGGAGGAGAAACGATTGTAGCATGGCCATCCCCCCCAGGGGGTGATTTCTCGCTTTCTGTCTGTCCATCTCTCTGTCTCCTTGGCGAGCACACACACCCTGTAGCAACAATCTCTCTTAAAAAAAACATAGCATCAAAGTTAATAAATATATGGAAGCATAATTTGTATCCTTAAAGATAATATTGATATACGCATAAGCAAAATAAGTATATATGCTATTATATAATTGCAACTTCATACAAACCGTTAACAGTGTCTAACAATGTGGAATATTGGATGATGGTGCTTGGCAGAAAGGCCTTGGTTTCCCAGCTCACCCTTAAAAATGGGGTTTGATGACTTGCGTCTGAAGTCCCAGTTACCCCAGTGACTAAAGCAGGAGGAGGATCATGACACAGCAGGACTCTGTCTAACCATCACACACACCCACACACCCACCCACACACACACACACACACACACACACACACACACACACATACCTCTACCACCAAAAATTCGAGTATCAGGCTAATAAGATAGTACTTTTTATTTTATTCCTTTCTGTTCTGTTTGCGTTAGTATTTTCTTGTTAGCACATATGGAACTCTTTTATTGTTTGTTTGTTTTGCTTTATGTTTTTAATTTTTTTCTCTTCAAATTTGTTACATTAATTCACTATACATCATTACAGCATACAAATGAATTTTCCATCCAAAATACACTGTGTATTGGCTCAATCAAGCACATCAACATACATGTTATCAGCAAATAATTTTCCAATTCTTATGTACTGTATACTTTGTTGTTTTTTTTGCCATCCTTGATTCCCTCACCCTCTGCCATGTCTCACCCTCCTCCCACATTGTCTCTAGTATCCATGGTTGCTTTCTATGTCTCCCCTCCCCCCCATTTAATTGATTTGCTAATAAACTTAGTCTAAATATATCAAATAGCTAGTACAG